TTTTAAAGCTTCCTGGTCATGACGTCACCCGCCTCTGACGTCTCGCCCATCGATTCGACTGATTACACATATGATTCAGAGCTTGGTACCGCTGAAGGCGTTCCCCTAGCGTTTCCGACGCAGCTGGAGTTCCCGAAGGGGAACTACTTCCTTCTGCCACTGATTTAGATCTCAGGTTGACAGTTTAACAGATGAGCCCAAGCCTCTATTACTAAATAGAAAACATCACTTCAGAACTAGCAAAGGAATGTTGGGCTGCTTCACAGTGACACCTGCATCTGATACAGCATTAATTCTTCAGTCCAGTCTCATATTCACAATAAAACATCAGTTTGAATGTCCACTGAAGAAAGCGTTATCTTTGTTGTAAGATCCTTTCAGCTGTTAAGAGAATTTCCCATGAAAACGCTGATCAATGCATTTGTTGGTTGCATTCTACAAGGTGTTGCTAAAAGTAAAAAACAATTTCAATTGCAATTTCAGTCTCTTTTAAATAAAAAAGATTTTATATTTCGAGGACCAGAAGTAACAGTTGATTGTTTGTATGTATGTATGTAGGACTATGTATGAATGATTGAATGATTGAATGGACAAATGAACGAATGAACGAATTAATGAATGAATGAATGACAATATTAATTATGCAAAACGAGTATCTCAAATTTTTTTTAAATTTTTTGTTATTAGTAGGGCCAGATGCAGGAAGAGTTTGGTTAAGGTTATTATAGCCTAAAAATGGTTTCACTTTTTAATATCAGTGTCTTCATGTTTTGGATAGTATAGAACATTAGTGCTATATCTTTAGTGCAAATCATATTTCTGACCTACACTGGAGGGCAGCTACAGAAAAGGCATGCTGAAGAGATGTTTTCACTAAATCCTTTTAAAATAAATTAAGGTATGGCTTTGAGGTTTGATCACATGAACACTGCTTCTTCTTGTGGGTTTTTGGTTAGTAACTCAAAGGCACCAGTCACTGTGTCTACTACTTCGACTACTGGGGGAAAGGAACCAAAGTCACCGTTTCCTCAGGTAAGATATTGTTGACATTTTCTGTTATTCCATTTTTATAAAATTTTGAAGATCAGGTAAGGTCTTGACACAAATAACATGCAGCCGTATTTACAATTTTTGTCTTTGCTAATAGTGGAAAGGGGACGTCGGTAATCGTAAACAATATCGAGTAAAACTCTCAGATTAAAGAAAGTGCGCACTAAAATCTCAAAACTAGTCGCTTTGATAACGGAGGCCTATGGCAAGACAGTGTAAATGTACTATTAGGGTTATGGTATGGCTCTTATCGTAAATCTTCTCGTTGTGACGGTGCCTTTGACTACTGGGGAAAGGGAACAACGGTGACTGTAACATCAGGTAAGAAGTCAGATTTTTGTTTAGTTAGACAAAAAATGCAAAAAATGCATGTTTAGTAACAGACTTTTTAGTCCACTAGTTTAAAGAGAGAGCGAGAGGAAATCATGGAGAGCCAAACTACAAAAAATGCATGTTTAGTAACAGACTTTTTAGTCTACTAGTTTAAAGAGAGAGAGAGAGAGAGAGAGAAATCATGGACAATGTTGCATTTAATTATGAAATAAATAGAATTGTAGCTGGGTTTGCTGATAAAAAAAATCGTTAGAGTTTTTGTGCACTGAAGAAATTAAAAGTATCACTGTGACTACGCTGCCTTTGACTACTGGGGGAAAGGCACGTCGGTCACAGTGACATCTGACAATTTAAACAATTTAAATCTTTCATAAGCGTTGACATGTTTTAAAAATAATAGGAAAACTAAATGTATGTCCGTTTTGTCCGTTTTGCAAGAATGAAACTTAGACTGAATTAAAAGGATAAATAGTCGAATTTGTGGCTTAGGATAATAAATAAAAGTGACTTGTCATATAGCGTACTATTTTTGTACAATATCCATGGGTAAAACTGTCAGTGTGACAATGCTTGTGACTACTGGGGGAAAGGAACCATGGTCACTGTCTCGTCAGGTAAGAAAAACTTACTAAAACAAAATCTGATCTAAGTACCAAAAATTGTGGCAGGTAGGCTAATTTGTCAAAAAGTTGTTTTTATATTTAAGCAACGTTTAAATGGCTATTTACTCTACGATTCGGACAATTGAAGTCGGGACATGTCTTTAGAGTTTTGCTAGAAACGCAAAGATTCACATTAATTATGAATAATTAAATTGTACATATTTTGATGTGTAGCCTACACGCATTCAGATAAAACAACGAATCGGCTACAAGCCATTTAACAGATCCTGAGCATTTTTGAGTTGCATTTTTATACTGCGCTGTAACATTAAAAGAATATTGTGTAACTGGGCTTTCGACTTCTGGGGAAGCGGCACCAAAGTCACCGTAACAAACAGTAAGATTTTATTATTAATGGCAAGGACAGTTATCGTAAAATAAGACAAAATGTCACATGTATGTGTTATTATTTACAGTTTTCTTATTATATCTTAAGAGTTTTCTATTGATTGTTGTCAAATGAATGGTTATTCCATTAGAAAATGTTAAAGACTAGGCTACATCATTTTATAATGTTTCGTTGTATAGCTGCTAAAAAAAGCGAACAAAAATCAGTAACAGCATTGTTAAACGACTACTTTAACAGTTCATTCTTCTCGCAAGTGTTGTCAATCTGTGCAAATATTAGAAGCTGAAAACAGCTAAATATGACTAAATAAAGACTGCAACGTGTCTCGTGCGTTTAAACTTTTTACACTGCTATGGCCACTACTTGTTATATTTTAAAATGATAAATTGAATTCCGCTATTACTAAGAAAATACAATTTCTAAAATACAAATTCAGTTCTAAATAAATAAATAGCCAAAGTAAAACACCGGCGTATAGACAAGGTCTTAGGTCGGTACCCAACCGCTATTTAATCAATAATTACAAATTGATTTAGGTTAATTATCCCTTTTCGAATTATTCCAAAGTTCAATGTTACAATAATGACTTTGAATTGTATTATATTTGTCACCCAAAATGTGCTTGTTTTACTAGTATATATATATATATATATATATATATATATATATTAATGAATGAAAGAAAGGTTGGGATTTTCATTTGTTCGTTTGGGTCACACTTTATTTTAAGGTTCAATTCTCGCTATTAACAAACCCTTAATGTAACACTTTATTTTAGGATCTCTTAAGTTGCTTATTAACATGCATATTTCTAGAATATTAGCCATTTATTAGTACTAATTAAGCACATATTAATGCCTTATTCTACATGACCTTATTCTACATTCCTTACCCAATACCTAAACTTAACAACTACCTTACTAACTATTAATAAGCAGCAAATTAGGAATTTATTGAGGGAAAAGTCGTAGTTAATAGTGAATAAGTGTTCCCTATTCTAAAGTGTTATCACCATTAACTACGACTTGTGCCTTAATTGTACTCATAATTTGCAGCTTATTAATAGTTAGTAAGATAGTTGTCAAGTTTGGGTATTGGGTCGGGTTAAGGGCATGTATTATCGTCATGCAGAATATGTGCTTTATAAGTAGCCTACTAATAAACTGCCAATATGTTAATAATAGGCATGATAATAAACAACTAGTTAATAGTGAGAATTGGTTCCTATACTAAAGTGTTATATTTGTTTGTTTTAACTTACACATTTCATAGGTTATGTGAACTGATTCATTAGAAACTAACTGAAAAGTAATCCTGCAGTCAAAATTTCCAGTAATAAATTAGTTTAGATATATAACACTTTATTTATTACAGCATCCAAGAAAACAAATATTTCACCTAATTCGCAAGATTTTGTGTTTTATTATGCTTGATTCTATTTGGTTAATCGAGCATTCAGCGTCTAAAACTATAAAATACCAGTTATCCAGGGCAACACTAATAACTTTTTGCTCATCTGGGAAACCTGTTTCAAAATATCTGTGCTCTCCGACCTTTCGGAATATTCAATCAATATTTAATATCCATGTAGTAGCCTTACATAGCCTACTTATTTGTTAAGTAGGCCTTGTGTGCGGCATAACATATTAAGATGACCTGCAAAGTTTAAAGCCTCAGGATGATCGGGACTTCGAAGAGAAGTCTTCGATAGGCTACTCAGCGAAGTCTTTCTTCTTGCGTAAAACCAGTTCATCTCCATCGTTTTGCTGTATTTTACGTTATTTTATAATCTATTTAATGCAATTTTATTTTTGTTATATTTTATTCATTAATCCATCCTTCCAGTCAATCATTTGAGATGTAGTCTAGCTGTCTAATAGGTATAATAGTGTTCATAGCATAGCCTACTACATGACATTGTATGTAGGCTATTGTCTGAGAACGATGCGTTGTCTCTACAGCTCAACAATCTGCGCCAACGTCAATCTTCCCCATGTCCCAGTGTACTTCTGATTCTGACGGGTTCCTCACCATCGGCTGCTTGGTAAGAGGTTTCTCACCTGCGGACTCACTTACTTTTAAATGGACGGATTCTACTACGGAGTTGAGTGATTTCGTGCAGTATCCAGCATTCAGACGGGATGGAGACTATACCAAAATCAGCTCTCTGCGCATAAGAAAAAGCGATTGGGATTCTAAGAAATCGTACAAATGCGAAGCTTCAAATACTGAAGGCAAATTAGTAACTGTTATTACTCCACCATGTAAGTTACATTTTTTAAAATATCTAACATTTTACATTAGCTACTTCATGTGTCTCTCTATAGGCTATCTTGCTGTTGGATTAAGATTATGTTGTTGTTTCTTTGTGGAGGCTCATGTTTGATTGGAAATTTTAGCACACTCTTTGGTTTAACCAGTGAACCTGCTGTTATGTCAAGCAGTTGTCCTTTAGCAAAGTCTGATGTCAATCAATGTTTACACCAGCTGAGAACAGCAAGGCCACAAATATAGCTAGTCTAAATGCTAGAACAGAAAAGCACATTGTAGGTTACACGATTTCTTTAATCAATGAAATGCCCCTAGGCTTTCAGAAATACTCCAGGTAGGCTAATACAATGACATATGAGATTTGTCCCTGCTGTACAAACCAAAAGAGGAGAAGAAGAAGAAAAAAATAATTTAAATATAAATATACAACATTTAACAGTGACGTTCAAACTGAACCACAAGAGCATCTTATTGGCTTGCTTTAAAAGGTATGTTGCACTATTTTCCTTTGCTTTTCATGTCCCCTCTGCTTTCTCCTGTATGTTGCCAGCCCCACCGCCAGATGCGCGTGCAACTGTGTACTTAACAGTACCTACAAAAATGGAGTTAGACAACGAAACAGCAACCTTCATGTGTTTAGCCCAACGGTTTTCGCCTAAAACATGCACGTTTAAGTGGTCTCTGGATGGTAAGGAGGTGACAAAAGCGATAGACAAATGTGACAAAAGTGAGAAGAAAGGCTCGGTAACCGAATATAGTGCCACAAGCATTTTGCAAATCAGTGCCGATGACTGGAAGAAGCCAAACAGCAAAGTTAAGTGTGAGTTCGTGCACAAGGCGGGAAATGAAGAAAGAGAGGCCGCATATGCAAGTATGTTTTCCCATGAGAACTGTGAATGTTTTGAAAATAGAAATGTTTATTTTTTTTTCTGTTTCTTTATTCATATTATGTTTATGTCTCCCCAAATCTGTCTGTTTTTTTGTACCCAGTTCCTTTTCAAGATTGCAGCGATATTGCTGTTGATATAGTGGCTCCCTCCCTTGAAGCCATGCTGAAAAATAGAGAAGGAGTGCTGAAGTGCAAAGCTTCAGCAGACAATTCAGGATTCACCAAAATAACAATAACAGCGAATAATAATGACATCGCTGAGAAACCAGTAGAGGGCAACGACAAATATGTGGAACTTGACGCCCCAATAGGCTATGAAGAATGGAGCAACGGCACTGAATTTACATGCACCGTTGAACACAACGAGCTAGCAGAGCCCAAGTCGACTAAGTTCGTCAGAGAAAATGGTATGAGTTTTTCTTTTTGTAAAACATGCAGTTCATGCTTTCACAAGGTCTCTTGATTTATACCATCTTTCATTACAATTGACGTTAATATAGAGTTTGACAAAAAATAATAAAAAGGAAATGACTCATGACTCATTCTGGTCTTAATTGTGATCTTGTATTACTAGGTAAAAACCCCAAGAAACCCACTGTTTTCATATTAGCACCCCCAGAGCACAAACCGGGTGAACCGATGACCCTGACATGTTATGTGAAGGACTTCTACCCCAAAGAGGTGTTTGTGTCTTGGCTTGCTGATGATGAACCTGTGACTTCTAAATACAGCACTAGCCTGCCAATTCAGACAGATCAAATCTTCTCAGTCTACAGTCAGCTAACAGTTAATGATTCCAAGTGGAAGAATGGTACAGTGTTCAGTTGTGTCGTGTATCACGAAGGCATTGATGAAAAAATGCGCGTACTGACGAGATCTATTGATGATAATACTGAAAAGGCAGGTGTAATTAATCTAAGTATGAATACCCCCGCATCTTGCAAGGACTAGAGCATTGTGTATGTG